TCACTTTAGCACTAATACATAGACGGAGATGGCCTGGAAATCATTCATTCCTAGTACTCCCATAAATGGCTTGATGAATCTCATAACTACACAGTCAGCGAAGAATTCTGTGTCATCACTGATTAGCTGCTTGAAATTATGAAATGATGTCACATGTGTATTTAATATATAGTATGTTAGTGGCATGCACACACAAAAGTTAAAATGCTTCTTCAAGATATTTGGTTTGTATTATTACTGTTGCAATTTTTTATGTAAATACAATGATTATATAAATATGTGACAGCATTATTCGACAAGCTAAGTAGTTCAATTCAGTTATTTAAATCTTAAAGGGGCACCTTCCAGTTAAGATTAATTTTACAACAAATTTACTTTCTGGATTAAAATAACAATGGATAACAAAAGATAGATTAACATTGTAAACAACATAAACAATAGTGTCCCATGATTCTTTGGTGCAATCCATGGGATTGAGCGGTTCCCCTTTAATGTTGTGAATATTTTAACTCACCGGTTTGAGTTTCTGCAAATAAGCAGCCATACAAGCGCAAAGAATAGACCACCTAACTCCCTGTATTAAAACCAATAGAAATATTTACGTAAATGACAGGTGCAGATAAATGTTGCACAACTCTGTAGTTGAGTCAAAGTACACATATAAGGAAGACCTTGATAGGTCGAAAAAACCTGTCAACAAACAAGCTGCTCTCTGATTGGTCTGACTGTTAGGTGTTAGAGTTAGGTAGCCAATCAGACACAGTCTTGTAAGTAGCTTCGCATTGACTACCTCTGCCTGGAAAGTTGGAATAAAGCAATTTGAATTGTCAAATTGAAAAGCACCACAGTCATCACACTGTGTTGTGATGGATATGGGTCCCATGCAACATGTTTACCCAAGGTTTTACAAGTACGGTAACACGAGTTATTCAAATTTTTTCAAATTTTTCAAAGGAGAATGATACAAAAGGTAATATTATAATTATATTTTACCTTGCTTCTTCCAACTCGTACAGCTTCAAATCGCTTTTCATCTCACTGATAATTTTCACTGAGTACGCACAGAAGGCAATGATAACGATAATGTGATGCATCGATGCAACTCGCCACAGCGGGTCATCTGTAGGATTCAAAATATGGTAATTACCGATTCTCTAGTCATTATATAGTAGTACCTCCACCAATCCAGATTTGCATTGCATGGATTAAAAAAAAAATTAAAACTAAAAATGTTACTGAAAATTTAACTTTAATTTTTTCGGGAAGATTACGAAATAGTGAATTACCT